CAAGTTCCCAAAGATTTTGTTTTTATTTTATAACTCACCTCGAGCTTTAGACTCGACTATGGCCGGAGGTGAGCAACTCTGTCGAGTCCGAGTGGATTCAAGCATGTAGTACGCATTGCCCAAAAGGCCTCTAAGAAGTTAAAAATTTTAGAAAATAAAAAATAAATCAATAATTATAAGAGTGAAATAAAACTAAAGGCAATATAAAAAGTCCAAAAACGTCACCCAAAAATATATAAACTATAGATTCGAAAAAGAAAAAAAAATCTATTTGGAGACATCTTAGAAAAATGAAAAAAAAAAAAAATTATAAAAATAGGTTATATGATAAGAAAAACTCGAAATTCATTGGTAAAGCTATCCAAATTCCGTATATAACGGTTTACGGTAGTCCACATTTTCATAATTTTTACAATTTTGTATATTCAAGTAGGTCGAATTCCCTAATTTTTTTTTTAAATAAATAAAATGGTAAGTTAGTGGGGATTTAACCGAGTTCCTTGACGATTCATTTATGCCAAACGCTTGAAGGGCACGAATATAAAGAAGGAACTCTAAGGTCCCTATTGGACGATTCATTGATGCCAAACGCTTCAAGTCTAATAGGTTGCCTGTAATGCTCTCGACTCTCTCGAGGACAAAATTAGTGGTGCATCAAATGACAAATGGGCCAAAGTCCGCACCGGCCAAAATGATTTGACTGAAAGACGCAGGACATGCATACTGTACAAATGCATAAAACCCATACGCAGCCCATCTCAGCCATTAATTGACAAAGATGCTTGATTAACCGAGACTTTGAACCGTAGATAAGGTGTTAAGTGATGCCCCACTCTTGTCCAAAAGTTCTAATTAAAACTTTTAATCCCACTTACCCACATAATAAACACATATTAGATGAGTCAAAAGGGGAGGCAGCATTGCCAAGTGGGTCCCTTAAAAAAAGCATTAGGACAATCAAAGGTTTTGCTTTTCTTCGCGGTAATTGAGGTCGGTATGAGGTTGCCGTCTTAAACCATCAAAGTAAGGCGCACTTTGAAACAATGTCGAAAGATGTCGTTCATGTATGGAAAATCCTTATAATGGCCAATTGTTTTTCACATCCATTAATTTTGAGATCGAGATGATCAATTGAAGGGTTTTTCTACATCAAAACAGCTTTTTCCAGTGACTTTTTAAGGTCGTGTTTCAATAATCACACCTCATATAAGCTTTTTTTTTCCTTTTGGAAATGGTGTGCATAAGATTCCTAGTTGTCCTACAACGTCGAAACTTCCACTCCATTGTGTGTTAAAAAGGTTAACAAAATCAAACATCACTTGTCAAGTCAGCTTAGAGAGAAAGGAACATGTGGTCCCCTAAGTTTGGAAATATATACACCAACTTTAAACAATTTTGACTGAGATTACTACCAAATTTATAAGAGAAAACCATGTTAGGATTAAGGAGTTTGATAGCCGAACACGTCTGTAATATGTACAGGTGTACACTCTTAACACACACAAGCAATTGCCATCTCACACACTTCCTTTCTAAAGGTGTATACTCCGATACATATACCAGCAATTGCCATCTAAATCCATACTTCCTCTCCACTTCCTTATCTATCTCCCATTTGGATGGGTGTCATGAGGCGCATCGAAATGCCCGTTTTTTCAAATAGATTAGGGAGTTAGTTTTTTTTCAAGTTGTCCGTGGGTATTGTCAGCAGAATTGAAAACCACAACATGACAACTCGGTATAGAACTGCTACCACCATGACCCGGCCCCTTTCCTAGAGCTATGCCTTTTCTTAGACGACGCTTTTGCATAGTAAAGTCCCTTTATTCAACTAGATTGATTGCTTTTGATATATGTAATCCTTCAATGTAATGGGTGACCACACAAAGGCACCTCCGTTTCATTGTTGCAATTTCATCCATTGGAGTGATTCTATCTATGGTGGCTTGGATGCAGTGGAGCATCTTGACCATCCACTTCTGTTGATTTAAAATCTAAGAATGTGAGAGGTCCAATTTTTTATGCGGGCCCCATGTCATGCTTGCTTGATTGGAGACAATACATGTTTCCTTGTAAACATAGTAGCTTTTGGGTTCTCTCCCTTAGTTTTCTTGCATAGATGCTTTGCAGAGTTGCTAGTTGCAGTGATCATGTCCACCAAGGTTAAAAAGCAGTGTTTCAAAACACGGATCGGTAGGTAGATCATTCATGTATAGATTCATATTGGATGTTGGATTGGCGATTTAGATCAAATCTGGATCCATTCGATGATCTAAAAAAATGTTAAAAATAAATAAAATAAAATAGAAATTTATTGGGTGAGGTTATAAAGGGAACATAAGAAAATATAAGCTATACAAGGGGTTTAAAGGGTAATCAGGCCAGGACCCATCCCATCCCAAAACCGGTCAGTCCTAATTAATTCACATCCAAATCGAAAATCTGGATCAGAAATAACCAGATTTTAAAATATTGTTTTAGAAACCACAACGGCTGCGTCTATTGAGCCCGGGTTTTAGCGATCCAGATAGGTGATCTTTTATACTCCATTTTTTTTAGAACTCATAACGGTTGTGTGAATCGACCTCCAACTAGACCAATCTAGATAGGCAACCTAGATCTAAGACATCCATAAAGAAAAAATTAGGAAAATGAAATCAGGTGATTTCGGGGGGCTAGGTTGCTAACCTGTCGAAATTCATCAAGATGAGCAATTCTCAATCCAAATAGCATATACGAGTGTGTTTTTAAAAGGTCCCCTTTACCATGGCATTTTTTCCCTTCTACAATAGCATATATCTTTTGGGGCCTATGTGATATGCCTTCAATTTTTATCTCAGGCACATTTGGTGTGTGCGAAAATACTTCCATAATATTTTTGCATTAAAAAAAATTCCCTCATATAATTAGGTATAGGAATTTTTTTACACTAATTGGTTTGAGTGCATTTTACACTGCCAATTGATAGCAATTTGATGAGGAAAAACTCACACCATCACATGACGGAGTTTTTTTACAGGCATCTTTGATTCACGTAAAAATATTTTTATGAAAAATATTCCCTATTTTTATACCCTATTAGTTGTCTGTTGGTGTGAAAAGATGCATTGGAACCAATTGAAGTAAAAATATTCCTACACCTAACCACACGAGAGAATTCTGTTAAGTAAAAATATTTCTCATAGAATATTTTCATGTAAAACAAACATGTCCACATAAAAATATTTTTTGAAAAATATTTTTCCATGAAAGAATTCTCTCGTGTGGTTAGATGTGAAAATATTTTCACATCAATTGATCCTAGTGCACCTTTTACACCAATACATATTTCGACTTCTGATCTTCTACTTAGCTTTTCGCACGAGTACATCTTTTGACTTCCAATCTTCTACTTAGCAAAACAAGATTTGGAATTTGGATCTCCCAATCTCATATAACATGTTGGCCATTGCAATGCCATGCTATGCTTATTAGTGTTATTTCTAATCAGGTTGGTGAGACAGCCTATTTTTTCTCCTATCCGGTTTAGAGAGAGTCAATGAGAGAGATGAGCCCACCTCTCCCTAGTCCATACCTCTCACGAGGTGGTAGGTTTGGGACGCGTACAATTAATGAAACTATTTTCGGACAAGGTCAGCTCAATATTGTAGCCGTATACTTGTTCGTGGATTCACACCGTTATCCAAACACCAAATTAAAACAAAGGACCTGGTTTCTATGCGGCCAAGCCGCATCAATAGAAATGCAGGCCTCTTAATAAATTCATGTTTGAGATATATTTTAATACTTAATTTTTAAAGCCATGGAGATCATGAATATAAATAAATAAATAAATTTTAAAATTAAAATACTAATTCAAAACATTTGGACAGCTAGTTTCTATTGATTTTTAGATGCAGCACCTACTTACATGCTTTACACTTTGTGGACCACATAACAATTTTCCTAAAATAAAAATAAGGCAAACCACCCATCTCTCTAGAAACAAGTCAGGTATCGCACTGCCCCAAATATCTCAGAGCATGTAAGCCATAAAATAAAAGAGAGAACTCATAAAGGAGGATAATATTATAAAATATCAAACAGTTAAAACGGGTGTGGAATTCTGGCTGGCTTTGCCAGTTGGCCACCAAAACCAATTATTCTAGAGAGAGAAAAAAGTTGGAAAGGAAAAAAACTAGAAAGAGAATAAAGTTGGAAAAAAAAAAAAGGAATTGTCCATTTCAAGCTCAGAAAATTATCCTTTTCCACTCCAAGAAGGAATATGAAACTAAAAGGCCAGCTCTACAACAAGTGTACACATAGCTGGCACCACTTATAATATATTATAAATGAGAATAAACAAGAAATGAAATGTTAATGAAAATACTTTTACTATACAAAATTTAAACAATTACCCTTTTCCTCCCACTTTTAGCCTTAAGGAGCAAGCTAATGAAAGATGAGAGAGAGAGGAAAGGCCACAGTAGAAAAAGTCATAGAGATCAGAAGGAGAGAGAGAGAGATCAATCTAAAGTCAGAGGTGAAGAGAGAGAGAGATTAGTCACAGAGAAAAGGTGTTTTGGGGGAAGGGGAGATAGAAGTCCCCAAAGTCCATTAGCCCACTTCACTCACAGAGAGAGAAAGAGAGTGCGTCCTCACTTAGAGAGATAGAGAGATTTTTTTAGAGAGAGAGTCCTCATTTAGAGAGAGAAATACACCCATTTTAGAGAGAGAGTCCTCACTTAGAGAGAGAAAGAGACCCACTTTAGTAGAGAGAGAGAGAGAGAGAGGTTGGGCGATTGGGGGTTGCTCTCCTAAGTCCTACATTTTGACCTGCTGCAATTTTGAGAACCCAACCTTTAGGGTTGTGAATGAATGATCCACTAGGCCCTGCAATTAAGCACTTTGAGATTCCAAAAGGAACAGAAACAACATCAATTGCTGAAAGTGCCAAACAAAAGATCAAAGAAATGGATGCCATTCCAGAAAACACTCAAAGAAATGAACCCGCTTTAACCTTCAAGAACAACTTTTTTTCTCGATTGGAGAAGAATTATTCGCGGAAAGAAAGATGCAGGCTTTGTGTAATTAAAAATAAAGAATGTTTTCTTTCTTTTTCTTTTTCTTTGAAATTCCATGGCTTCTTAATTGTACAGCTGCTCCATTAAAGTCCTCTCACCCATCATGGCTACTAACTTTTCATGAATTGATCTAAACATGAAAAATAAAAGAAGAACAAATGAAAGAAATTAAACAAGATGGGTCTCCCTCCATCTCCATCGCCAAAATTCCAAAAAGAGAATCCGAATTCCGGCAACAAACATCGAGATTTCCAGCCGAGTTTCAGCCAAAAAATCACTACCTGTAGGCCAAAACCCCCAATTCTCTTTAGTTTCGATACTCCACCTGTTGTAGGACTCTTGAAACAGCACCAAGCTTCTTCTATATTTACATTTACAGTAGCAAAGCAGAAACAATGAATATATATCCATTTAGAGAGAGGAGGTCATCTATTCAAACACACAAAAAACCCCAGTAATCTACCTTCACCATCTGGGCAAGCTCGCACCAGTCTCAATATCCCAAGCCCCACCTCTCCTCCTAGAGCTCCTGCTAAAAACCGACCTCGACCGCCTGCTGCTACCATTTTCCGAGCTTGACCTTGATGAAGCTGAGCTAGAGAGAGCAGGAGAACCTGAACCAGAACCCGCCGAACTCAAATTTGATCTTGAATTCGAATTTGAAGAAGACCCCCTTCCCAACCTACCAAAAAAGGAGAAGAAGCTCCTAAATGCATTGCCAATCCCACCACTCTGTCTAGGCCTGGAGACTCTGGACCCCCATGAAACCCTCCTGGACACACCATTTGAGTTAAATCCACCGTCCATTTCCGTGTAAACAACGGGATGCCGACCTGACACCGCAGGCGACCCCCCTGAAAACCGACCTACCGCAAAGCCACCACCTGGGAGGCGCCAAATTGTTAACCCCACCGTCTCCTCCTCCCCATTCTCCGGCACAGTCTCTGAAGACCTGTTTCGATCAATTTCATTGTGGCTTTCAGGAGGCATCTCGTGCCGGCAAACAGGACAAGAGTTTCGCAGCGATAGCCAGGGCAAGATGCAATCCTGGTGGTATATGTGTTTGCAAGGCATCTCACGGGCATCAGAGCCAAGTTCGAAAGGGTCCTTGCAAACTGCACAGTGGGACTCCATCGAAACATGGCTTGAAACGATCTTTACAGTCGGCATCGACTCCACTGCTTGCTTCGATGCCGGGGGCGGCTCGCACCGGCCAGCACCACCATTGAGCTCCAGCTGTGTCAATTGATCCAACAATCGCTCAAATCCCGATCCCATCAAAAAATCTGACATGCTCGTAGGCAATGGCCTCAACCCCGACCCTACACCATCATCATAATAGAGCTCAAAACTGCCGTTCTCGGCGCCGTCTGCTCCATCAGATGGTCCACGCAGGACGATCACAGGATTGAATGGCGTTCGGTCGGCGTTGGTTCGCGAGCGGCGGCGGGGCTCTGAGTGGGGGTTGGGGTTGGGGTTGGGGTTGGGGTTGGGGTTGTTGCCAACCATGTACATGGCAGCAGGGATGCTGCGGCGGCGGCGGGAAGACATTTCTTCAACAAAGCCGGACTGGCAGTCGGGGCAGATGGGATCGCTAGAGACCTGCACGAAGCGGTTGCAGCGGTGGCACCAATAAGAGGAGGAATTTGATGGGGAGGAAGACATTAATGGATATTCTTGTGCTTTTTTCTTAATATAAAACCCAAAGATGTAAAAATTTTGGAATCGCAGAGGACCCAAATGCCCCAAAACCTTGGCTTTGAATTTGAAACTCTAAGATTGGGGTGGAGCCAAAAGACCGCTGCTTTTTTTCTTCACTGTCAGCCGGAAAACCGCTTTGATGTTTGGTTACAGAGGCTGAAAACGGCCTTGGGATCTCAGAAAACCGCTTGAAGAAGATCTAAGGGGACGAATAAGTCCGATGTTTTCCTCTTCCTATAGGAGCTGGAAAACCCCTTTGAGATCTAAGGGCACCTGTCTTTTCGCCTATTATAGACGATAGAAAATCACCCTTCGATTCCAGAAAAAGCCAAAAACCAGCTCGATATATCTTGTTACAGGCGCCGGAAAACCGCCTTTTTAGCAGGGAAACAGCTGGCTTTGAGGCGTAATGGGGAAGAGAGCCTCGATTTGGTGGTTTCCGTGGCCGGAGACTTGCCGGCCGTTGGGAAATGACCGGAATTCGGTGGGTCGATAGAGGAAGAAAGAGGAGTGAGAAAATTATTGAGAGAGAAGGGGAAAGGGGGTTGCTTTTAAGGGGGGAGCTAAAACGAAAAGCGACGCGAGGGAAGCTTCAAGGGCGGAGACGCGTGCTCACTTTAGCGTGTTAACGACGCTCCGTCAGCTCGGTTAGGGAGAGAGAAGTTACATATAGAGAGAGAAAGTTTGCGCAGGAAAGACAAAAAGGAAATAATGACCCAAAATAAAGACAAAAGCGAAATAACTGAAAATAAATAGAAAAGTGAGAGAGGGAAAAAGTTTTTATAGAGCCGAGGCTCTAAACCATCAAATTAGAACCCACCTCAAAAATTTCACTGGAAGTGGTTCTTTTGATGCTTAAATATCCTCAAGTTGATTATCTCGATATCAAGATCTGCATGAAAAAAAAATAGATTTCAAATTTTGAAAATAGTTCATCTTATATTATATTTTCAATTTTTTAATTTTCAAGTTTTCATAGATCTGCTCGATCTATACTACTTTTTAAGCTTTAAATTTTATAATTATAAGTGAAAAATATATATTTTAAGGCTATCACAAAGATTTCCAGTATTGAGACCACATTTCTCAACACTATTCGAAGGTGTGCTCTATTTTGATTGTTTAGCTATGTACAAACCGCCCCTTTAAAATATGGATCAATTGGAAAAACCAGCTATCCAAGAAATTAGCATGTTTCGGTTCTCTTGGGTGAGATCAGTTGATAAAAATAAAATAATATAAAAATAAAAATAACTAATTAATCAATAAAAATAAAATATGTGGGAACCAAGTGATTCGGTCAATTCGGATTCCCTGGCTGTTTGAAATAACTGATTCCCAACTCTAATTAAGAACTAGGTCGGCCATCATTAATTTCCAGTCCAGATCATACGATTTCAATCCAGATAAGATAACCTCAATCTAAAAATCCAGTATATAAACCCCCCCACATAGTATTTTATTTATTTTTCTATTTAATTCAAAATACCCCTCAAAATACACTTGATTCGTGTTTGAATAATTAAAAGAAATCAAATTATTAAATACAAAATTTATGCAAATTCTCATAAGGGATAAACTATTTAACGGTTGACCATGTCTTTTGATTTAATTTCAAAATACTAGCTCACATAATCACAAGTTAGAAAAGTTACAAATCAATAAATGTTAAATAATTCATCTCCTGTGGGTATTTCTCTAAATTTCCATCGTTAAATTGTTGAAAATTAATGTGTATCTTGGTAAATCTCCTATAATATAATGATTTCTATTGCTGAAAGAATGCGCAGTTAGTCTAGTTATCATGTACGCGAAGTCATGTTTACACTCCGTCTCATAAGGGGGAAAATGTGCCACATATGGGGCTTAAAGTCTCAAAAATTTTCTCCAAAAATTTTAAATTTTTGAGACAGTTCAAGTTGTCAGATTTCAAATTTGAAGGTTCTGAGTAAGTGTGACCGAAAAGGTCAATCATTTTAGTATTCAATCATCTTTTCTATCTTAAATTTTTGTTGTCCAATTTATAATGACAAGATGAGTATTTTGAAGAAAAACCATTAAATTTTGAATTTCTAAATAGTTGGATTCAACTATTTTAAGGGCAAAGTGTTTCGTGAGTTGGTCGACTCACCTATTGAAGTGCGGCCCCCTTCAAAATCCATTGTAAAGATGGATTTTGGATTCAAAATTTTAGATTTATTAATCTCAACTATAGTGGTAATTACAAATATGAAGTTTTTCTTGAAAAATAAAAATTATTTTTTAAAAAAGATTTTTTTTCCAATATCCATTTTGAGGTGTAGTGCAAGTACCATTTTTTGAGAAGGAAATGCATAAGTATATTCACATAAGGAAATTCATAAGTAGACTCACCATATCTTTGTCCTGTTTAACATTAGGACATTATTTTTCATAAATGGTGCATATAATGTTTTGTTTTTTTAGCAGCGTAGATTACAAAATTCTGATCCTAAAAATACTAAGAAATGTGTAAGGAGGAGCATATATTCTTTTTGGCAGCTATTACTTCCTTAGAATAAGGTTATCTAGTAGTATTTTGGGAATGTCAAATATTTTAGAGAAAGTAATTTTTTAAAAATCTGAATGAGAAAATCTATAAGACGACTGTAAGATCAATCATGCTTTATGGGACATAATATCAGGTAGTAAAAAAATAATATATTTATAAAATGGGTGTAGCTGGATGAGGAAGTTAAGATAGACGAATGGCATGACAAGAAATGATAGAATTCTAAATGAGTACATACAATGGAACTCAAGTGTGGTTTCAATAGGCAATAAAAAGAGGGAAAGTAAATTTAGGTGGACTCGCTATTTGTACCCTAGATCTAATACAACACTGGCTATTTGTACACTAGACCTAATACAACACCGGTTAAAAAGTGCGATTTGGTTCAAGTAGAAAGCTCTAAAAACGTAAAAAAAATCCCTAAAAAGACATGAATATAAGTAATAGAAAAAAGATATAATGACTTTTGGTCGTATTGAAGATATGACTATTAATAGAGAAAAATAAAAGATGAGGATGATGAACAAATTCCTAAACATAAAAAACGTGAGTAACTTTCTAAACATGCTTCACCCAAAAATATCCTAAACATGAGGAGCTACTTTAAAATATCCTAAACATGAGGAGCTACTTTAAATGGGGTGGTGTTGAGTGTGTCACTAACTAAGTTTCAAGATAAAAAAAATCTCGAACTATGTAAAATAACTAAAGCTATCTAATTTGAAATCGGATGGCTAGGGATATTTGTGATCTTCTTGTAATAATAGTAAATGGTCTCATCGTATCCTATCCTAAAAAGAAAATCATATGCATTTTATATGTGTTTGAGAAAATAATATCATGAAAGTTAATATGATCAATTAAATCTCATACCAACACGTATTTTTTTAAATAACTAATTAATTTTTAAAGTGGATATCAAAATATCATATGAAAACTATTGATTTTAGAAGAAGTTTATATAAAGTTACAACCTTACTTAATATTAAAACAAAAAGCTGCAATCTTGCTTGTAGATGTAAAGTTGCATTAATCTATACTGTCTATTTAATTAGAACGGTATTTAGATCGTATAAATTTGATACTATCTTAAAATACTTATCACTAGTTGATATTATTTTAAAAAACACGTCAAATCTACACCATCTAAATATAATATAAGATGTAGAATATTACGACATTACCCATACAAATAAAATTCGCACCCTTATATAAACCTCACCATTTCAATTTTTTTCTTGTGGATTCAAAAAATCTAAAATGAAAAATATTATTTTAACAAAGGAAGGAATATATCTTTTACTACTATGCACTTAGCTTTCCAAATCCCAACTAATAAATAGAAAGCAAAGATGGAATACAAGACAGTTATCCAAGAAATAATAATAATGAAATATAAGAAGGAAAATTGTTTTATGCGGGGCTAGATTGTATTTCTACAATATGGAGTCGCAAGGTATAAAGAATCTATTTTAATGGTAGATACAAATAGGTGGTCCATCTAAAAACAATTGAAATTAACGTTCCAATTTTTTTCATAAAATTATTATTTTTAATTTTTAAATTTATAAAAATGGATCTGAAAATCTATCTCAAAAATAAATTTTTAAAAATCGACTCATTTCTTCATTGGCTCATTAGAAATCCATACAAAAAAACGGAGAGCGGTGAGAGAAAGTATGCGAATGATTAAAGGAGAGGAAAAGAAAGGGAAGGAGCGTGAGAGAGAGAAAATGCTAGACATCAGAGGAGCGAGAAACTAGAGAGAGAAAGGGGAGAGAGAAGAGTCAAGAGAGAGAATATGGTTGACAACAAAGAGCGAGAAACTAGAGAGAGAAAGGAATGAGACAGAAAGGAGAGAACCGACACGTGGCTGCCCAGGATGACTTTCCGGTCTCTCACTGCCTAATGCCGGTTACATGCACGCAACGGCTGTCGAGATGGACTGGTCCAAGCCAGTCAAAAGCCTGTTGATGCGGTTCGGAATCAGTTTACGGCCGACGGTAAATCGGGTCCCGGCGCCGAGGATTTCAGAAACTACGCGGCTTTCTCATTTCTCCCGATCGGAAGCTTCGTCGTCGCCGATAAGCAGGACCGAAGTTTTGTCCGCAATATATTGCCGAATATTTCGGCCCGGTTGTTAACAACCCGGATAGAAGATATTTTTTTTTTATTAAAACAAACCCAACTATCAATAATTCAAAAATAGCATATACTATCCGAATTGAGGCCACATAGCGGAAAATCAAATCGCTTTGTATCCAAAATTTCGGCTGCGATGTAACAACATTTTTTAACTCTTCATTGGCCAGTTTTGGTGGTCTGGCAGGATATTTTTAAAAAATATATATATAAAACTTCAAAAAAGAGGGATTTCTATTGTTTATAATGTGTCTTTGAATTTTTATTGTTATTTTAACAAAGATTGAAAAGTGTTTTGATCATGAATTTTTATTTTTACACTTTCTTATTTTTAAAAAAATTTAAAAAATATCTCTAGGTATAAAATGATTTTTAAAATTTATTTTTTACTACTTTTCAATTTTATTCGGATATGCTTTGTTTGATCATATTTTAAATATATTTTTCATATTTTATTGAATTTTTTAATTTTTAGTACTTTTTAAACCAGCGAGTGAACTGGCCCGTTTACCGATTGCTCGGACTTGACCCTTGGCCCGTTTCCGAGGCCGGTTTGATTTTCGCATAATTTTAATTTGAATGGAAATTTCGTTAAAGGTTTCCTGGGTTTAGTGGACACTGAGATTTTAAATATGTCGGTGAATTTTCGGAGGTGATATTCGAAGTCAGTGTGACACGAAGAATGGCTTCTTTTCGAATCACGCGTAACACGTGCGGCATGGATCGCATCGTCGTGGCAAGATCACGTTCTTACAATGCTGTCCACGTTCAATGCTAATCAAAAGAAATATTTTTCTTTTATTTTGTTTCATACTTACGGGGTGTGGGACCTCCTTTCTGGAAGCCACATGAGGAAATCCGGCCTTTTTT